ACAAGCTGTCCTGGTCCATAGGGGGCAAAGCAAGTTCAAACCATGTGATTCTATGTGTTTCTTGCATTGGAATGCAGTATTTACCCTTCACCAAACAATGCTTTTCATTAAAGCCATAGAGTTCTATTTTAGTCTCATCCTTCTGCAGAATATTCTTCCAATAGCATTCTGGCTTATCCATGTGATTTTTTTGCAATCTGTAGATGAAGTAGCAATGTTCATTTTGGAGCAGGAGTGTCAAACTCAGCAAAGGACTGGCCCATGGTGCCTCTGGCAGTGAAAATCGAGCTTGGGAGGGCAACATGTGGCCCTCCTGAGCTCCATTTTCGCTGGCAGAGGTCTGCAGGAGGCCATTGCAGCCTAAAACGGAGCTCAACAGGGCAGAGGGCTGCAGGATGTTGAGCTGGCCATGCTTTCCCTGGCCATGACCACCTGCCACACCCACTCAGCTCCCCTGAGGTCAAACATAACCCTGATGCGGCTCTCAATGCATTTAGCCCTCCAATTATTTGTTGCTTTCATCGGAGTATTCCCCATGCTAAGTGGAAGAAGTCTAAAACAGTTGTATTATGTTGTTATTAAAAATAATAATATATGGTTTGTTCATCTGCAGAGTTTCCTAATGGCAGTACCAACTTTAAATAAACACATCTGATAGATTTTTTTGCACATAATATCTGATTGGCTTCAGAAGTTATTCTTTATTTTATTCTTTATTTTAAATCCAGTATTCCTTCTTAGTGTTGAGAACCGTCCTGATTAGAATGTAGAGTAAATCACTGAAGGGAAAGCACATTGCTAGGCAACTTTTGTAAATTACAGTTAAAATACACTTGAAAGTCCCGGTAATCATATTCTAATGTTTCAGTTCATTTATATTCCAAATGTTTTTTTAGTTTCCTGAGTCTCACCATGCTTGGTGGTTATGACGACAAATTTGCTTTGAACGTGTAACTTTCTTGGGGATCAAAATTATCCTTGCCATCCCTTATGATGATCTCCTGCTTTGCTTTAAAAGCTACTGGAATAAAACCTTCACCATCAGCAGTAAGAACTATCCAGGAAGGACCTAGGGAAGAGGGAAAAAATGTCAGATGTATGCATGAGTTAGATATACAAGTACTTGTCTAAATGTTAAGTATATAATCCTTCGTGCTTCTTTTAATAGGTTTTTTTCAATACCGTTACAAAAATTAGATGTCTGTTTTAAGCCAAAGTGGATAGACAACACAGCTAATTATTTTTTCACCTTTGATACTTACAAAAAGATAATCTGGCTTTGATATGATAGTTGCATATTATACATACATACATTTGATATATTTTTCTATGAAGCAAAATGAAGTTACCTCTTGTTACAGAGATAAAATAGCAAGCTAATTTTAATTACTGCAATATACAACTTTTTAAAAAATAATAGAAAGCTTTAATATTTGAGTATATTTGAAAAGAATATTAAATATTTATTGTGTATCCCCTTTGTTTTAGTTGTTTAGTTAGTTTAGAAAAGTAAACTGTAAAATTGTAAACTCATGACCTGAATTTCTTGATTACTGAAAATAATTATTTTGATTATTTTTAAAGTTTCTTTTAAAAACTATATTCTAAATTCTTAGCTTGTTAATGTGGTATGTTGTGCATAAGGGAGCTATTCTTGCTCATATATGCATTTTTGATAAATTGGGAAGTTTAAACAAACCTAGTAAAAACTATTTCTTATGATTTTAAAACATTTAAGGAGAAGCAACAAGAAAGCTTATTGCACAATTTTATCAACTTTGTTAAAGATTAAAACTGCATTTATGTTTTGTCATGAGTCATTGTTTTGACCATAGTTTGGCTGAGTTTAGGCTACACGCTAACCCAAATCAAAGCAAGTTACATATGGCTTAGCATCTTTGTTCAGCCAGTTATTTAATGACAATGATTTTTTTCTTTACTACTAACATGGGACTAGATCTGACTAAACATTAGTAGCTTGATAAGATTGTTGTGATATAAGAGGGCAGCTTTATCAGGCATCATTAATCAGTGCATAGATGTCTGAGATCAGAGGGATAGACTGATTTTGCAAATTCCAATAATCCATAATTTATTTAATCATTTACTAAAATCATAATTAATCTTATGCAATTCTATACATAAATCACTAGGTTCAGTGTCTATAATCATTGAATACACTAAATTATCATGTGGTTTGAGCAGAGGCAAAGTTGCTTAAGTAGATTAGATAAAGTGTTACCTTACTATCAATTTATAGGCAGTTCTATATTTGTGGATTTGCTTACTGACAAAAATGTTTTTGTACACCCAAATCTGTATTCACAGCATTGTCGTCCTTACTGTCTGGCATGTGGGACTGCAAAACAATCAAAATTACCCAATATGCAGACTCCCAATTTAAGGTTTCAGCATTTGTTAATTTGCTAATATACACAGCATTTTCACAGAACTACAAATATATGAATTGCCTGTATTTCCAATCCATTTTCTACATTAATAAATAGACTATTCACAGTCTTGCCTAGGCTCAGGAATGAAGGTCAACTGAACATTGTACTGTTGGGTTGGGGAGGGGGGACCCGTGTAACTCAGGTTCCCAAAAGTTAGTTTTCACTAAAACAAATAATAAAGAGGACTTGCCATGTTTCATTTCAACAATATGCAGATCAAAAAGTTGCTGGACTAAATTCAGATGGATTTTGCCATTATATAGTAGAATATTGCGAGTTTCTTCAGCTATTGCTC